GTCCTAATGCAGTGCCCTCACAGGAGTACTCAGTAGGGATATTAGGACAGTGATAGTGACAGTGATGACGGCAACGACCACAAGAACGACTGTCCCCGGCCCTGTCCCAGAGGTTGGGGGCAGGATGCCTGTTCCACAGACGAGCACACTGAGCCTGGGGGGCAGAACGTCAGCACCTCAGACGCAGAGTCAGATGACTTGCCTCAGGTCACACAGCCCCTCCGGACACCTGGTTCTCACTCCTCCCGCCACTCCCCAGCCCACTGCCTTGTTCTGTCCTCCTGGGGAGCAGAAGCACAGCGACAAGAGTTACAGCAACGTGCGTTGGGATGAGAAAAGTGGGCTTGCATCAACTCTGCATTTGGGAATTTAAAAACCTGAAATAGAGCCCTAGCCGGTTTGGCTCAATGGATAGAGCATCGGCCTGTGGACTGAAGGGTTCAATTATAGTAGCACATGCCTAGGTTGCAGGCTCGGTCCGGTGTGCATCATCATTGATGTTTCTATCTCTCCTCTCCCTTACTCTCTCAAATCAATAAAAATATATATTTTTAAAAACCTGAAATGTAATTGCTGCACATAGACATGACCCTTGATGCGATGTTTGCCCGACTCTTGCCCTGCAGTTCCCTGAATCCAGGCTGGGGACACTCCCGGGTCCTCACCCTTTTGTTTGGTTGTTTTCTTCCTTCCCTGAGGGTTTTGAGATATTTTTTTTGGGGGGGTGTTAAGTCACAATATTTGGGGACAAAACCTGTCAGTTCAGGACAACTCTTCTGGGAGGTGGTGCTCCTGAGGATGGCGTAACACAGAGCCTTCCCGAGCCAGAGAGGTTCCAGGAAAATGGGATCTTACACAAAGCCGCGCTTCGTGTGCCACCGCTGGGAGGCAGTGGTGTTGGGCACAGAGATGTGACCTGTTGACTGCTCTGCCTCTGTCTGCTTCTCTTTCCTGTATCGACTTCTTCTCCTGAAATACTTTGAAGTTTCCCGAAAAGATGCAAGAGCACAGAGTGCTCCTGTCTGCCCAGCACCAGAGGCATGAGCCACGTGTGCGTTACCGGCTCTTTCTGGACCTACTCGTGCGTGTTATGATTTGCTGCCTGAACCGTTTGAAAGTTAAGTTGCAGAAATGAGGACCCTGACCCCAAACACTTCAGGGTTTCCTAAAAGCAAGGACCCCCTCCCAGAACGCAGCACAGAGATCGAAGTCAGAGATCGGAACAGCGGTCCTGTACTGTGCGTGGTAGACAGTTGTCTTCCCTCTGACTATTTTATTATTTTCAGACCCACAAGTATGTGCTGAACCCCATTTCCCAGTGTCAGCAGCAGACAGCACCCCTGCCCTCATCGTACGCCTGCCCTGTGCCATGCGCCACTCTTCTCTGGAGTATTTTACAGCTAAGTCCTGACATTGATTCATCTGTGAGGACTTCATCGTAAATCATTGTTCAATCCCCGGGATGGGATGTGTTGGAAAATCTCTTGAGTGGGCTGTGACCAATACTTAAAAAGAAAAAGAGAGAATAGACCATAAAATCAAAGTGCGCTGTGCAGACCGTGTGTACAAGGCTGTGATGTTAAGAGTCTTTCCTATGGTGACCACCAGGGTTCCTGGGTTTATTTGTGGATGATCTGAGCTTGGCTGCAGGACCCCTGAGGGGGAGACGCAGCCTGGGGAGGGTTGGGGAGAAAGAGGTCAGGTCTGTGCTACCACCCACCCCAAAGCCCTGCCTTTGGAAGTATGGGCTCTAGAGTCCAAAGTGCTGGGCTTGAACCCTGGCCCCACCCCTTGCTACCCATGACTTTGTGTGCATTAACTAACCTCTCTGTGCCTCAGTTTCCCCATCTGTAAAGAGGTGAGAGAAATGGTCCCAACCTCACGGGGCTGTTGTGAGAACTGATTGACCATGAATCTCTGTCAGGGCTGGGCACACAGTGAATGCTCAAGAAAGGTGCCCGTTGTCCTTGCAGGCCTGGCTGTGGCTCTCTCTTCCGCCAGCCCCAGCCCATCCTCTGGCCCTGAGAAGGAGAGCTTCCTTAGCATCGCATCCTCCACATTAGAATCCCTTCAAGAGCTTTTCTTTTCTTTTTTTTTTAAATATATTTTTATTTATTTCAGAGAAGAAGGAAGAGGGAGAGAGAGATAGAAACATCAGTGATGAGAGAGAATCATTGATTGGCTGCCTCTTTCACGCCCCCTACTGGGGATCGAGCCCACTACCTGGTCATGTGCCTTTGATGGGAATCGCATCTGGGACCCTCCAGTCCGCTGGCTGACACTCTATCCACTGAGCCACACCAGCTAGGGCCCTTTGAGAGCTTTTACAGTGCCCGGCCGCACCTCAGGCCAATGATTCTGTATCTCTGGGATGGGACCCAGGCACCGTAGCTTTTAAAAGAGCCCAGGTGATCCCGCTGTGCCGGGAAGATGCGGCGCTTAGCCTTTCAGTGGTAATGAGCTTCCCCTGGGTCTTGTAGAGCATCTCCTGAGCCTTCAGGAGGGGTGTGGGGTGGGGCCTGAGAGCCTGCATTTCTCACAGGCTCCCCGCAGTGCCCACACTGCTGGTCCGGGACCACACTCTGAGGACTGAGCCCCTGAGCCCCTGGAGAAAAGGCCCCGCCAGAGACCACTACCTCCCTTCCCTCCATCCCTGTCCTAAACAACAGCAGCTGACACTTCTTGGACTTCTCTATGCCCAACACAGAGTGAAGCCCTTCTACAGCCATCACCCCTGACGTTTCGTTCTCGCTGCTACTTGAGGCTGCAGGTGCATCGGCCCCATTTTAAAGATGAGAAAAGTGAAGTCTGGGATGGTTAAGGAACCTGCCTGTGGTCACATGGCTGAGCCAGGCTCTGGTCCCAGCGAGAAGAGCTACCGCTTCTAAGCAGGGAACTCTTCCTTCCATACACGGCTGTCCGGAGGCTTTCCCCATCCCTTTCTGTCTGTCTCTCTGCCCTGCCCTCGCAGTATCTTCCTCCCTCCCTCTCTCCCCTCTTTCTCAGTCTCCCTGACTCCATCTCCTGGTGCATGTTTCCTGTACCTGCCCCACACATCCCACCTGGCTGAAATGGAAGCCTCTATCCTAGCCCCTCCTCCACACCAGCCCCCTCTGGGGTCCCACCATCTCCCAAGCCCATGTCACCTGGACTTCCAGCTGCTTCTCCCTCCCATTGCCCTGCTGGCTTTGAAGTTCAGGCTCCACATTTCTGGGCCAGAGCAGAGCTTCTCCGACCTTCACAAACACACAGATCCGAGGGGGCCTTGTTAAAATACTGATTCTGGCTCAGTGTGTCTGGGTGGGCCTGCGATGCTGCATTGCTAACAAGCTCCCAGCGGTGCCGCGGCTGCTGGCCCAGCAGCACCACCCATGAAGCAATGTTCTAGAGGACCTGGTGTTCCTAGCTGGCCCCTGGCCCACACACACTCCTAGAATGCAGCCTCACTGCTTGGTGCCCTCACAATAACCTCTGAACCCTGTCACCAGCCCCCAAAGCCCTCAAGGTGCAGCTCATCTTATTCCTGCCCCAACCTCCCACCCTCTCGTTCTTCCCATGGACCACGCCCTTTTTATCCTCTGGACCTTTGCATATTCTGTTCCTGGGGCCTGAGAGGCTGTTCCCGGCTTGTCCCACTCCTGCCTATCTTTAGGGACATGTTCCTCAGGACTCCCAGACTGGGGCAGGAACCTCCTCACTCTGTCCCCCTCCTCACTCTGCTTCCCCTGGGCTCACCATGCCTGTCAGGTCTAGTTCGTGTGTCTGTCTCCCCTGCTGTTCTGAACAACCTAGATTCCGGTGTGGTGCCTCATTGGGCCTTGCATCCACCTGTGTGGGCCCCTCTTTGATGGGGAATGTGTAGGAAATGGGGATGGGGATGGGAGGTCAGACACCAGGGAATGAGGGAGGGTGGGAAGGTGGAGATCACCCAAGAGTGGTTGGTAAAGCGAGTTGCCGTCAGGGGCACCTGCCTCAGATCCCAGCTTCTGGCAGGAGGAGCAGTCCGGGGATCTCAGAGCAAGGGGCTGGGGCCCTCGCTGGGCCACACATCTGTGTCAGAGATCTGAGGGGCACTTCTCATGGCCACCCTTCACCCCTCTCCGCTCATCAGCCTGGCATACAGGGGACTCCCTGTGGATGAAGGGGTGAGCTCCCCCTCCCCCACCCCCCACCCTGCATCGCCTCTCAAAGCCTCAGGGAGTCCTCCAAAGTGGAAACAAGAGCCTCGCCTTCCCAGGAAGGCCTGCAGAGCCTCAAAGGCCCCAGTGGGGTGGGCCCCGGCCGGGGATCAGGGCAATCCCGGGTTAGAACCCCAGCTCCACTCTTCGTAAGCTGGGTGGCCTTGGGCAGGTGACACCACTCTCTGAGCCTTGATTTCCACATCTGTAAAATGGGGGCAGAAGGAGCACCTCACAGGGTTGTGGCGGAGGATTGAATGTCAAGAGCCCTGCCAGCTGCTGCCTCTATTCATCGATTACTCCGAACACTGAGGAGGCATCACATTGCAGGAAGATCGTGGGAACTCTGGTTGGGACAGTTTTCATGCTCATGGATGGGAGGCTCACACCCCTGACAGCTTCATCCGTTACATTTCCAAGGACTCTGCATGTAGAAGGGGAAAACCCGTCACGGTGGGCTTCGGGCCCTCACATCAGGAGGCCCTTACTCACCATGAAGTCAGCCAGCATCTGTGGCCCCTGAAAGGAAAGACCAGGTGATGTGGGTTCCGCATTGTCAGCCCCAACCACGCCCTCACCGTCAACTTCACCGAGACCGCAGCCGCCTCCAGTATATTTAGCTCTGAGGCGCCTGAAAGTTTTTTCCGCCAGCACAGACTCAGCTTTGAGCAAATTCAGCCCAGATGTAGTCAGCAGGCGCCGCGACCCGGAGGCCTAGGTTTCTCTCCCCACTACTTCCTGTTGTGCACCCATCAGGGCTGGGGGGGGTGCGGGGGCTGGGCACACGTGGCCAATACAAACAAGCCTCTCCTTTCTCCACAGGCAGGCGGAGGCGTCGACATGGGGCTTAAGCTGTCCTGTCTGAAAGGTAAGGTGGGCGGCTCTCCCTCACCAGCTCTGATGTGGGCGAGAGGGTGTGGCAGTCGGGGGGGAGGGGGGGAGCGGGAATGGGGCAGGACCGGGTGGGAGGGTAGAGCTGAACCCCTAGTGTTGCAGCCGTGGAGAAGGAGGAGACCCTCCCTCTGAGCAGCACCTGCACACAGTAGGCACCTTTAAGTGCTTGCTCTGACTTTGAGGGCTCCTCCAGCCTTTCCTTTCATTGGCAGTTGAGTGACCTGAGAACGTCGCAGCGCCCCCTGGGCCTCCATTTCCTTCTCAGAGGCATGAATCCCAGGCTGTGGGGAGGAAGGGAGCAAGAGGCTCTAGAAGTGGGTGCCAGGCATGCACGGGGTATTTGCTCTCCACCCGCTGGCCTGTTATCACCGAGATAACAGGTTCGGCCTGCCAGAGGCTGGGGAAGGCAAGTTGGGAGGGGGGGAAAGCCAGCTGGGAGAAAGTTCTAGAAGGACACAGAATCACTGAGAAGTGTTGTAGGTGTTGGCAGAGGCAGCCCAGACCTCTCTCCTGTGCTCCAGACCTTTCTGTTCAGAGTCTGAAGGACCCAGGGGCACCCAGACCAATAGGGCCCACACGGAGACCTCCCCTCAAAGCCCATTCGTTATTGCATAACAAATGCTCCCACCCCACGTCTCCCCAGCCTGGAACCTGGGAGTCTCCCTGGTGGCCCCTCACCCACATGCAGCAGGCTCAGCAGCCCTGACTCTCCTCCTGGATGTCTGGGGCCGACCCTGGCTCCTTCCCTCCGACACAGGAAGTCAGGAGGCACAGAAGGTCAGGCCAGGATGAAGGGCCATATCCTTCAGGTCCCACAGCTGGGATGAGTGAGCTCAGGAGAGCCTCTGGTTGGTCCAGCTCCGGGCTCCCGCCTGTCCTTCAGTGGGGGGATTGGGGGGGAGACAACTTGATGGACAATGCCTCCCCGACTGGGGGCAAGTAGGGAGCAGTGCTTCCCCTGGAGAAAATCAGGGTGTTGTTCGCAAAACGGGCATGGGGTGCTAGAGAGTCCTAGACAACCACGTCCCTCCAGGGCCTGGTCCCTCTGAGGCTCCAGGCTGGGCCCAGGCAGGCGTTGGGGGCGGTGCTTGCTGAGTGAGTATCCATGGGGGATGCAGGTCCAAAGGTTGGGTCCAGAGACCAAACCTAAGAGTCCAGGACCCTCTTCCTTAGACTTCACTGGGTCTCCCCAGTGCCCGGCACAGAGTAGGTGGTCAGAATACACTTTTTGTTTCTGTTTTTATTGTAGCAAAATATACCTAACATCCGTCACCGCTTTAACTGAAGTGTACAGTTCAGTGGCATTGAGCACGTTCACGTGGCTGTGCATCTACCTCCAGAACTTTTCTATCTTCCCAAACGGAGTCTGTCCCCATTGAAAACTAACCCTATCCCCCCTCCCCTGAGCCCCGCTACTCCCATCCTACTCAGTCTCTGGATTTGCCTGCTCTGGGGACTTCATATCGGGAACTGTGCAGTGTTTGTCTCTCTGTGACTTGGCATAACGTCCTCAGGGTCCAGCCGTGTTGTCCCGTGTGTCAGTTTCCGTTATAAGGCTGAGGAATATTCCGTGCGTATGGACCACAGTTGGTTCATCCGTTCATCCCTCGATGGACCCCAGGCTGCTTCCACTTTGGGCTGTTGTGTCAGGACATCTTTGACAAAAACAAGCCCCGAAAGGAACCTCTGGGGCCACTTCTCTTCCAGCCCAAGGCGAGCTGGGGCCTCAACCCGGGGAGAGACCCGGGAGTGCTGATGCTGAGAGTCCCTGGGAAACGGCCCCCACCCTCCACCCCACCCGGCCCTGAGAGCCCGAGCAGCACGCTGAGTGCTCCTGGGCTGCGAGCTTCTAAAAGGGCTCCTTCCGGCTGGGCCCTGGAGGAGCTAAGTGCTGGAGCTGCAGGAGCAGTGCAGGCAGGTCTGCTCATACATTTTTCATGGCTAGCCCTCTGGGGCCGGCCCACCGGCCCTCCCCTCAGCCTCGGCCAACACAGGCTTGGGTGTGCCTGGGGGAGGGCAGGGCACAGAACCCCTCTGTGCTAAACCGAGACAACCCCGCCCATTAGCCCTGAGGCCCCAACATTCTCTGCAGGGTCTTGTTCTCACTTTCCCCGTAAGGAATATGTCACATGTGAGGAAACCTCAGTGTGCTGGGCACCCCGCAGCCCTGTGCCCTCACGGTTGGACATGGGCCTTCCCTTACCTGGCTGCCAGCAGGTATGGTTTTACCTGGTTGTCGACACTGGCACGTGCAGTTCTGTGCACTGTCTTTTATTTCTTTTTTATTTGATGTTTCGGTGCTAGTGCTATTTTTCCCAAGGCGGCGTCATTTTCACAGTTCTTTAATGCCTGTATCGGGTTCTGTCAAGAGTTGGTTTTGAGGCCCTGGCCGGTGTGGTTCAGTGGTTGGAGCGTCGGCCTATGCACCCAAGGGTTGCGGGTTCAATTCCTGGTCAAGGCCATGTACCTGGGTTGCAGGTTCAGTCCCCAGCCTCCGTCAGGGCATATGCGGGAGGCAACCAATTGATGTGTCTCTCTCACATCGATGTTTCTCTTCCCCCCCTCACCGCCCCCCCCACTTTCTCTAAAAAATCAATGGAAAAAATGTCCTTAGGTGCAGATTAAAAAAAAAAAAAACTAAAACAAAAAAAGAGTTGGTCTTCGGGTTGTTTCCAACTTGTTGCTTTTGTAGATAATGCCATTTTGAACATCTTTGCTTTTTGTCTTCTTAAATTATTTCTTTGGGATAAGTTCCAGCAATCAGAATCCAAGTTAGCAATTAGGATAAATGCTGAATTCTTAATGGGGGGCTCAGCCTGGGCAGGGCCCTGTTCTCTGCATTCCATGTGAATGACTCATCCGCCCCTTCTCCCATCATAAAGTGGGTATTATTGTGCTTCTCAGTTCCCAGATGAAGCTGAGGCACAGAGAGGCAGTGCAGTTTGCCTGGGGCCACACAGCTGGTACCTATGTGGGGTTTGAACACAGGCAAATTGGTCCCAAAGGCCTGGTGTCAGCCTCCACACATACAGCTTTTTCAGAGGAAAAGGCTTTTGTTTGTTTGTCTGATATATATATGTATATGTATATGTATATATCTATAATAATAAAAGCATAATATGCTAATTAGACCAGACGTCCTTCCAGATGACCTTCCAGACAAAGCCGGGGATGTAAGGGATGCCCGGGTCCCGGGTGCCAGAGGGAAGCTGGTGCCAGCAGCCCGGGGAAGGAAGGCCTACTCTTGCACGAATTTTCCTGCATCGGGCCTCTAGTATACTGTATATATAATTGATTTCAGAGAGGAAGGGAGAGGACGAGCGAGAGATAGAAACATCAATGATGAGAGAATCATTGATCGGCTGCTTCCTGCACTCCCAGAGGAAAAGGTTTTCATTTGACTTTTAAAGTAGCCACTATAGAAACTTCATCCACACAAGCTCTTAAATCTTCACTTTAACCCTATTAGATGGTGTCTTAGTGTCCTAGGCCTGGGGTAACATAGGGGCGGGGGAGGCTTAAAACAACAGGAATGAATTCACTCTCAGTTCTGGAGGCTAGAAGCCCTAACTCCAGGAGTCCCAGGGCCATGCGTCCTCTGAAGGCACTTGGGGAGGGTCCTTCCTGCTCTTCCAGCTCCTGGGGCTCCGGGCATCCCTTGGCTTGTGGCCACATCACCCCAGTCTCTGCCTTTGCCTTCACATGAGCGTCTCCCTGTGTTTCTATGTCCTTTCTCTGATGAAGACGTCAGTCTTTAGACTTAGAACCAGTATTAAATCCAAGATGATCTCATCACAAGATCCTTAACTAATTACATCTGTAAAGACCTTATTTCCAAATAAGGTCACATTCTGAGGTTCTGGATGGACTTGAATTTTGAATTTGGGGGGAACTCTACTCAGCCCACTACAAGTCACTTCTCCGCTGAGCCTCCTGCGTGGGGGACGGAATGTGCTTCCCTGCCGGGCAGTGAAGACTCAGGCGAGGTGGGAGGTCCATAGGCAGTGACCTTGGAGAGAGGAATACCAGGAAGCCTGGATACTTTTGTTTCTGGTTCCAAAGGAGAGTGGGCACTTAAAAAATTTCTTTTTACATATTTTAAAATGTTTTATTGATTTTTAGAGAGAGCGGAAGGGAGAGGGATAGAGAGATAGAAATATCAATTGGCTGCCTCCTGCATGCCCCCTACTGGAGATTGAGCCCTCAACCTGGGCATGTGCCCCAACCAGGAATCAAACCGTGACCTCTTGGTGCATGGGTCAACACTCAACCACTGAGCCACACCAGCCAGCGAGAGTGGGCACTGTAAGTGGGGTCCTTCTACTCAAGGGCCTGGCCATAGCAGCCGTGATGTATCGGAACGTTCCACGGTCCAAGAGCACCTCCTTCGTGTCCAGACCGGCACCTGCTGGGTGGGCATCCCTGTGAGCCTGGCACTGCTCCCCAAGCATGTGCCCCCAGTTTTCTCATTTCATCCTCAGTAAAGCTGGACGACGTAGGTACTTTCACAGACAGGGAGACTGAGGCATAGGGGAGCTCTCACTGGCTCAAGGTCACATGGCCTGTCTGGAGGAACTTGGTTCAGCAGATGGCAGGGAGGGGTGGCGGAGTCCCTGGTTCCTAAGCACGTTCTCTGCCGTCAGCAGCAGGTGGCACTGCCCAGGACACAGCACGTGGTTCTCAGGGGCATCCTCAGACTTGCACCCTGCGCATCACCTGGGAATGAGACATGCAAATTCTCGGGACCCACCCTGTCCTACTGAGTCCAAGGCGCTGGGGGTTGTTAACAAAACCTAGGGGGATTCTGGCGCCTACTAAAGTTTGAGAACTGCTGGTAAAGTGACTCAGGGGTCAGAGATGTCTGAGTTCAAATCCCCTTCTGCCCTGACTAATTGCAACCTTGTGCAACTCACTTCATGTGCCCAAGCCTCAGTTTCCCCGTCTGTAAAATGGAGTGATGAATGGGAACATCTC